TGGAGCATTGTTCTGTATACCGAAAAGTTGCTGGTTCAATTCCTGGTCAGGCCACATACCTAAGTTGCAGGTTCAATCCTGGATCGATCTCTCTCTCTCTCTCTCTCTCTCTCTCTCTCTCTCTCTCTCTTTCTCTCATCCCTTCTCTCTAAAGTCAATAAGCATATCCTCAGGTGAGGATTAAAAATAAAAAGTTTACCTCATGAACAAACCCTTTATGATCTAGATTCTGCCTATCTCTTCCAGCCTAATTTCTCACTGTGCTGTAATCCACCCCCAGCCTAAGCTCCAGTCACATGCATCTGCTTAAGATAATGCCAGACAAACTATGTTGCTTCATTCCTTTCAATTCTGCACATGCTGTTTGTTCTTTAAGACTTTCCTCAGTGAAGTTTTGCTCACTCATATGGATGCCCCTTAGTCAATGCTTATTGTTGTACTGTAGTTATTTATTTACTTTTTTAAAAGTCTCATCTGAGAGGTTTCTTACCCTGGGGTACATTGGATTATTTTTTTTAAAGGTAGAAGAAAGCTTTGGAGAACTAGCTACAAGAATGAAAGAAAAATGTAAAGGTTAGGCATAAACAAGTCAGATATATATAGTTTGATTTTGGTTCCTCTTTCTGCTGCTTGGGGTGGTATATGTGATTTGGTTCCAAAATTTTAGGCTTCTGTAGATTTGGATGCCATAATTACTACTACTATACACATAGACTTGATTTCATGACCTGTAAATTTAAATTTAATATATGGCTAGTGATATGGAAAATGGGGAGATTGACATTTTGTGGTGGGCCAAAATACATGCCATGTTATTATTACTGGTAGTGTCTAAAAAGAATGAGAACAGAAAGAATCTTAATTTCCTGAAATGCCCTGCTCTGTATTTAAGGTTTTTAAAAGTGTGTAAATTAGAACTATGTTCTCTGCTTTACTTATAAGCCGTTTTTACATAGTGAGCTGTTTTGTATTTTTATATTTGTATTAAGGAAATGATCAGGCTCTTTTGCTTTTTGTATTTTCCATTTATTCTTTTTATTTTGTTGTCTAGGTATTTAAGAGATTATGGCATCTGAAACCCACAATGTTAAAAAACGGAACTTTTATAATAATATTGAGGATCATTCCATTGATCGTCCTAGAAAAAGGATCTCTAATTTCACTAATAAGAACATGAAGGAGGTAAGTCCACAGTTTCTAGGTAACAGGTAAGACAGTATTTTAGTCTATTCAGACTAAGAATACTATGACAGAATACTATAGACTGGGTGGCTTTAAACAACAGAAATTTATTTCTTACAGCTCTAGAGGCTGGGAAGTTCAAGATCAAGGCCCAGACAGATTTGGTGTCTGGTGAAGGCCTATAAATGACTGTCTTTTCACTGTGTCTTACATGGTAGAAGGGTTATGAGAGCTCTCTGGGGTCTTTTATAAGAGCAGTAATCTCATTCATGACCCAGTCACCTCCCAAAAGCCTTGCCTCCTAATAGGATTTCAGCATGAATTTTGGGGAGACACAGGTTTTTCATTTCCTCACAGACAATTTAAACTATTAGGTGTGTGGTTAATTCTGGTTAAATTATTTAAAAAACAAGAGGTACCAATCCTGTTTAACTTGCCAGAATTAAGTAGAATTAATGAAATATTGAAAACTTTGTATTCTGAAAGCTCTAAAAAATTTTTGGCCAGTATACTGTTCTGATAGGATATAATTTTGATATTTTAGTTTAATATTAAAGAGGAATCTTAAAAGTGCTTTTTGGTCACCATTGTAAGGCATATCAGCACTGATATAATTTCTCTTAAACCACATTAAAATTCAACTTATTAAGTACCCTGTAAATATACCGTAATATGTGACAAGTGGCATAGAAAATAGGGAGATAGATATATCAAAAACATCTCTATACAATGTTGTTGTAACTAATGATTGAGATAAAGCATTAGAACAGAAAAAACTTTAATCTGAAAAACTTAACTGTTGAATCTCAGATTTGTTAATATCAATCACAAAGTTTACATAGCTTTATTTAAAAACTTAAATGTGCTACAACCATCTATTTTAATTTTTTAGGTTAAGAAATCTCCAAAACAGTTGGCTGCTTACATAAATAGGTAAGAGCATCTTTAAAGTTTGTGGGAAACAGCAAATGTTGAAAGCTGGATAAGAGTAAAAATGGTGCCCTAACAGGTTTGGCTCAGTGGATAGAGCGTTGGCCTGTGGACTGAAAGGTCCCAGGTTTGATTCCAGTCAAGGGCATGTACCTTGGTTGTGGGCACATCCCCAGTAGGGGGTGTGCAGGAGGCAGCTGATTGATGTTTCTCTCTCATCGATGTTTCTAACTCTATCCCTCTCCCTTCCTTTTTGTAAAAAATCAATAAAATATATATATTTTTAAAATGGGGAAAAAAGTATTCCCTTTTATTATAATAATTAACTTATTCTCAAACATTTCCTTTTTGGTAGTCACTGTACTAAACACATCAGTATAATCTTTAACTAGAGGCCCAGCGTGCGAAATCGTGTGGGACTCCAGACCCGCAGCACCACGAGACCCGGACCCATCAATACACCTCCTGGTGACCGGTCATTTGGTTATTATGGTGTTATGGCATTACGACCACTGGCCTTTTATAATATAGATACTTACCACAGTCCTACTGGGTAGGTTTCATTGCCTCCTAACAATTGATGAGGAAAACTAAAGATCAGAGAAGTTAAGTGATTTGTTCAGGATTATGCACCCAGAAAGTGGTAGAAATGACATTCATTCTCAGATCTACCAAACTTTCTAATAAACCACTGTTTCTCAAAGTGTGATCTGAGGACCCTGGAGGTTCCTGAAGCCCTTTCAGGGAGTTTTTGAGGTTACTGTATTCATATCAATACTAAGATATTATTCACCTTTTTCATATTTATTCTCTTACAAGTGTATAGTAGAGTTTTCCAGAGGCTACATTTAATATCACAATAGATTGAATAGAGAAGGAAATAATGAGAATCCATCTGTCTTCTGTTAAATAAGATATTAGATATTTGTAAAGATGTAGAATAGTGCCATTCTTCTCACTAGGTGTGTGTGTTTGTATGTATGATTTTATAAAAATATTCTATGTGAGCCCTGCCGATATGGCTCAGTTGTTTGGGAATCATCCTATGCACCAAAAACGTTGCTGGTTCAATTCTCAGTCAGGGCACATGCCTGGATCCCTGTTTAAGGGAATTGATGTTCCACTTTCACATCAGTCTTTCTCTTTTTGTCTCCCTTCCTCTCTCTCTAAAAATCAATAAAAATATTTTTTTAAATCTGTTAATCAGTAACAAGTCTATTATTTTTAAATTAACCCATTTTCTCAGTTTTAGTTCCTAATACAGTAAGTATCAATAAATATTTCCCACATAAAAAAATTACTTTGAGACCTCAAGAATTTAAAAATTTTTTAAATTAAATATTTTGGGGTGAATTGGTTAATAAAATTATATAGGTTGGTTTCAAGTGTTCAATTCTAATACATTATCTGTATATTGCATTGTGTGCTCACCACTCAAAGTCTATTGTTCTTCCGTCACCAACTCCCTTTATCCTTTACTACCTTCCCACCCGCCCCTCTTTTCCTCTGGTAACCACTATACTGTTATCTATGTCTATAGTTTTGTTTGTTTGTTCATTTGTTGTTTTCAGTTTTATATCCCACATATGAGTGAATTCATATGGTTCTTGACTTTTTCCATATGACTTATTTTGCATAGCATGATATTCCCAAGATTCATCCATGTTGTCAGGAATGGCGGTATTTCATCTTTTCTTGTGACTGAGTAGTATTCCATTGTATAAATGTACAACAGCTTCTTTATCAGATCATCTCTCGAAGGACATTTCCATTGTTTCCTTATCTTCGCCACCGTGAATAATGCTGCACTGAACATGGGAGTACATATATCTTTTAGAATAAATTAAGTTTTTAAATACCCAGAAGAGGGGTTGCTGGATCATAGGATAACTCTATTCTTAGTTTTTTGGGGAACGTCCATAGTGTTTTCCATAGTAGCTGTACCAGTTTACATTCCCTCTAGCAGTGAATAAGGATATCTTTTTTAAAAATATATATATATTTTATTGATTTTTTGCAGAGAGGAAGGGAGAGGGATAGAGAGTTAGAAACACTCATGAGAGAGAAACATCGATCAGCTGCCTCCTGCACATCCCCTACTGGGGATGTGCCCGCAACCAAGGTACATGCCCTTGACCAGAATCGAACCTGGGACTCTTCAGTCCACAGGCCGACCCTCTAGCCACTGAGCCAAACTGGTCAGGGCGAATAAGGGTATCTTTTTCTCTACAACCTCTCCAACACTTGTTATTACTTGTCTTGTTAATAGCCATCCTAACAGGTGTGAGGTGGTATCTCATTGTAGTTTTGATTTGCATTTTCCTAATAGCTAGTGAAATTGAACATCTTTTCATATATCTGTTGGCCATTTCTATGTCTTCTTGGGAGAAGTGTCTGTTCAGGAGACTTCAACAATTTTTAAGAGTGCAAAGCATCCTGAGGCCAAAACTTTTGAAAACCACTATACTAAACCATGAGATGTGTTCTTTTGTGGTTTCTTATTCAAATAAAATTAAGTATACTTTAACTTAATAAAAATAAACTTTAAAATATTCAAATATGTATAATTATTTGTCACTTTGTTAGAAAAAGTTTAGGTGATTAGAAACTGTTTCATTTTCTTCCTCCAAAAATGGCCTGTAATATTTCATTTTAAAGACATCTAGTTATTATGCCTCTTTATTTTCATTTGGTATAAAGTATCGTCCTGTTCATTGCTTTTCAGATAGTTTGTAATTTCCCTCTTTAATCTAAAATTTAAGATTTTTTAAAAATTCTGTTTACTTCTAATTTTACTGGATTGTAATCACTAAATGTGGCCTATTAAATCTTTCTGTTTAAAAACTTTTAAAGGTTTTCATGTGGATCTTTTTTCATTTTTACAGAACAGTTGGACACGCTGTTAAAAGCCCAGATAAACTACGTAAGGTGATCTACCACAGAAAGAAAGTTCATTATCCTTTTCCAAATTCTTGTTTTAAAAAGAAACAGTCCCCTAGAAGTGGGGGCTGTGACATGGCAAATAAAGAAAATGAACTGGCTTGTGCAGGCCACCTGCCTGAAAAATTACACCATGATAGTCGAACATATTTGCTTAACTCCAGTGATTCTGGTTCTTCACAGACAGAAAGCGCATCATCAAAATACAGTGGTTTTTTTTCTGAGGTAAGTTAAGTTTGTAAACTTAACTTTATTCTTGCTATACTCTTGTTTTTTTTCTTTGCCATATTCTATTTGAATAATTGTCACCCATTGAATTCAGATTTATTTGAATGATCGTAACTCCTGACACAATTTTCCTGATTAACCAAATTTGACTCAGTAGTTTATTCCATTTCTCTTAAGTTAATGATATCTGAGGTGACTTCAAATGATTGACAAGCTGCTGTAAATACCCAGAATGACAGGTTGGCCAGTAGAGATTTAAAGGAAGGTAAAAGGAATCTTGCTTACAAAGTAGACCACCAGCCTGGCTGGCGTGGCTTAGTGGTTGAGTGTCAACCTATGAACCAGGAGGTTACGGTTTGATTCCCATTCAGGGCACATGCCTGGATTGTGGGCTTGATCCCCCATGGTGGGCGTAAAAGAGGCAGCTGATCATAGATTCTCTCTCATCATTGGTGTTTCTACCTCCCTCTCCCTCTTCCTTCCTCTGAAATCAATAAAAATGTATTTTTTAAAAAAGTGGATCACCAAAACCAGTTATTCAAACACATTTTGTTGGGCTCTCAAAATTACCTAGTAGAAGTTTTATTTTGGCAAACCTACTAAGGTATGCTGTTCTTCTGGCTCTGGAAAAATTAGTTATTCGAATAGGCTCAAGGGAATTTTGAGGGAATGATAAAAACATTCTAAAACTGGATTGTTATGATGGTGGCACAACTCTGTAAATTGGTTATAATAATTGAATCACATACTTTTTTTTTTAATATATTTTATTGATTTTTTACAGAGAGGAAGGGAGAGAGTTAGAAACATCGATGAGAGAGAATCATCGATCAGCTGCCTCCTGCACATCTCCTACTGGGGATGTGCCCGCAACCCAGGTACATGCCCTTGACCGGAATCGAACCTGGGACCTTTCAGTCCGCAGGCCGACGCTCTATCCACTGAGCCAAACCGGTTTTGGCTGAATCACATACTTTTAATGGATGAGTTTTATGGTCTGTAACTGATATCTCAAGAAAGTCGCTTTTTATAAGAATTATTTAAAAAAATGGTTTAATAAAATTGGTAAACACACATGAATTTATAATAATTATTACTTGTTTATTGTATATGTTGTAGAAAATAAACCCAAAGGAAAAAATTATCCATAATCTCAACATTTGGAAATAACAGTATTAAATTTTATTTATTTATTTATTTATTTATTTATTATTTTCAAAATAAATTTTTATTGATTTCAGAGGAAGTGAGAGAGAGAGAGAGAGAGAGAGAGAGAGAGAGAGAGAGAGAGAGAAACATCAATGATGAGAGAGAATCATTGATGGGCTGCCTCGTGCATGCCCCACATAGGGGATTGAGCCCCTAGCCTGGGCATGTGCCCTGACTGGGAATCGAACCGTGACCTCCTGTTTTGTAGCTTGTTGCTCAACTGCTGAGCCATGCCAGTTGAGCTTTATTTATTTATTTATAACAAAGCAAAACATTTTTTTTTTTAACTCTAAGAAGGATTTTAACAGAAACAGTATACCTGAATGACACATATATGTGAGTTTAAATTTAAGAACAATATACACTACACAATGCATAATTGTTATTAGTGTGTAACATACTATGGGTGAACTAAAAACGATTTATTTGATAAATTATTGATATTTAAAAGAAAAATGGTAGCAAATGAGGGAAAATACTGGTAAAAAAATAAACAGGTCCTAATTGTATTCAGATCCTTTGTTTACAATGCTCAACTGTAATTTATATATAGGCAGTCCTCAGGTTATGTCGGACTCGACGTACGTCATACGTCGTTTTGTGGTTACATTGCCATCTCCCATTTATTTATAAAAAAAAAAAGTTCCATCATTTCGATGTATGTACATATGTTTTTTATTATTTGTTTACCACAAGTAAAAATCAGGAACTGTTATCTTTCTTTTAAAATTTTTTTACTGTTTCACTTCATTACTGCTGTGTATGTGCTCCATGTGAGTGATGTAGGTGCTTATGTAGGTGGGTTCCGACTTTCGAGTTATGTCCCACCATAGGAGTGGATCTCTTATGTAACCTGAGGACCTACTGTGTATTTATTTATTTATTTATTCATTTATTCATTTATTTATATGTTTTGTGGGTAAGTAAATGGAGTCACCTTTGTATAATTTTTTTTCTTTTTAATTTTTATTGAATTTATTGGTGACTTTGGTTAATAAAATTGTATAGGTTTCAGGTGTGCCTATAATACATTATATGTATGTTGTATTGTGTGCCTACTACCTCAAGTCAAGTCTCCTTCCATCACTATTTATCCATCACAATACCTTCTTCTATCTGCCCCCACCCTCCTTTCCCTCTGGTAATCACCACCTTTGTATAATTTTAAAATATGTCTACCAGAATAATTTAATTAAGAAAATTATTTCATATCATGTTTCAGTGTGCTTTTTAAGAACTTAGATTATTACCTTTCAGGTTTCTCAGGATCATGAAACAATGGCACAAGTTTTGTTCAGCAGGAATTTGAGATTGAATGTAGCTTTAACTTTCTGGAAAAAGAGAAGTATAAGTGAACTTGTAGCTTATTTGGTGAGGTAAGTGTGACCTTTTTGTTCAATAAAAGTAATTTCTAGTATGCTATTTAGAAGTGCCTCTTCTTTTTTGTTATTACTGGCTAAAATTGTAAACTTCTATGTTTGGCTTCAATAGAAACAATATAGTTTAAATTACATTCAATTCCAGTCTAAGAGTAACCAAAATAAAGGAAACCATCAATTTTATCAGACCAAATAAAGCTGTTACCTTCTCTAAGATTCTTATCCATTATACCAAGAGATACCAGTATTGGAAAACTAAACCTTTAAGAATCCCCTTTGAGTAAAAATTTTAAATATTACCTTCTCAAATGTTACCTTAGTGAGGCCTTCCTTTGCCATCTTATTTAAAAACTAGAGGCCCATCACAAAGAGATTCGTGCAATAGGCCTTCCTTCCCCTGGCTGCTGCCACTGGTTTTCCTCTGGCACCCGGGACCCAGGCCTTCGCTCTGGCTGCAGCGGAGAAGCCAAGCCTCTTCAGTCTTCAGTTGTCTTCAGTCTTCAGTCTTCGCTCCGTGCCTGCATATGCAAATTAACTGCCATCTTTGTTGGGTTAATTTGCATACTCATCCTGATTGGCTGGTGGGCATAGTGGAGTGACACCAATTTGCATGTTTCTCTTTTATTAGTGTAGATATACATTTCTTTATTCCCTATGTATCCTTCTGTTTTATTTTTCTCTGTAGCACTTAACTACCATCTGCATGTTCTATATATTTTACTTGTGTATATGAGTAATAGAGGCCTGGTGCACAAAAATTGTGCACTCGGCAGCCCGGCCTATGCCCTCTCGCAGTCCAGGAGCCCTTGGGGGATGTCTGACTGCTACTGAGGCAGGAGAGGCTCTCGCCAGCTGTGAGCCCGGCTTCTGGCTGAGTGGCATTCCCCCTATGGGAGCGCAGTGACCACCAGGGGGCAGCTCCTGTGTTGAGGGTCTGCCCCCTGGTGGTCAGTGTGCGTCATAGTGTCCGGTCATTCCGCCATTCGGTCGATGTGCATATTAGCCTTTTATTACATAGGATTGTCTGTCTCTGCCCTCTCCAACCCACCTCCAATTCTCTCTCTCTCTCATACACATACTAGAATGCAAGTCCTATCTCTTTGTTTACTGATGTACCCCCAGCATCTGGCTAATAATACACACTTGGATTATTTGTTGAATGAGTGAATTTCTCAAAGGCAGTGTGAAGGTCCAGGGAGCGGACCTAAGCCAGCAGTCAGACATCCCCCGAGGGGTCCCGGATTGCAAGAGAGCACAGGCTGGGCTGGGGAACCACCCCCCCCCCCCCACCACCCAGTGCACGAATGTCGTGCACCGGGCCTCTAGTATGAAAATAATTGAAGAAATGATTTCTCTAAGTAATGCTATTCTTTTTGTACCCACAGGATAGAAGACCTTGGAGTGGTGGTAGATTGCCTTCCTGTGCTTACCAATAGGTAAAAAAAAATATTTTTCAGAAAATAAATTAGTTTAAAAAAGACAAATTATGACCTATTCATATTTTTATGACTTGTATTTATTTTAGTTTACAGGAAGAAAAACAATACATCTCACTCGGCTGCTGTGTAGACTTGTTGCCCCTTGTAAAGTCACTACTTAAAAGCAAATTTGAAGAGTAAGTGCTGATCTGAATCTCAAGTCATTTTTCTTTTTCAACAGTATGTGCCCTGTGAATGCATTAGTAGTAGATTGAGCGCCATAAAACATACATGGTTTCTCTTTTTAAGTTGCTTATAGTCCAGTTAGGAAAAGAATATGAAATGACTAAAGACAATTACAGAAGCATCTATAAACAAGTTATATAAAATACAGTTTTGTGAAATAAATGTTTAGAAGAGGGAAAGGTCAATGTAATATATGTGTTGGGTTATTTTTGAGTCGTGGAAGTATTTTTTTGTAAAGGCTTCTTAGATGAAAATACTTGAATTTTGTAACAAAATGTCATTTCAGATATATAATAGTTGGTTTAAACTGGCTTCAAGCAGTCATAAAAAGGTGGTGGTCAGAACTCTCGTCCAAAACAGAAATTATAAATGATGGGTGAGTATACCTTTAAGGATAACCTTATGCTTCTAAATTTTATTTTATTTTACTTTTTTTTTTTTCCAGAAAAACAGTTGGATTTAATTTTATTCTGTGATCATCAATATATAATATTCTCTTTATTTTCATGGAAATATTAAATTGGGATACTGTTCATATGTGAAAATTACACATAGAAGTTGAATTTCAGAGCCCAGTAACCTCTTCTTCTAGCAGAATCCTGCTCTTCATTTTAGAAGGAAAAAGTATAGCAGTGATTTAACCGTTGTAATGTATAAGAGAGAGTCTTTAGTGGAATAAGTAATGAGGCTCAGGAATGGAGGTATCTTGCAGAGTCCTTTGGCTACCTAGACACTAACCTTAGAATCCAATTCTAAAAACTATATTAAAATCATCACTAGAGGCCCAGTGTACAAAATTCGTGCACGTGGCGGGGGTGGGGGGCGTCCCTCAGCCCGGCCTACACACTCTCCAATCCAGGACCCCTTGGGGGATATCCAACTGCCTGTTTAGGCCCGATCCCGAAACCGGCAGTCGGACATCCCTCTCACAATCCGGGACTGCTCGCTCCTAACCGCTCGCTTGCCTGCCTGCGTGATCGCCCCTAACTGCCCTCCCCTGCCAGCCTCATTGCCCCCTAACTGCCCTCCCCTCCCAGCCTCATCACCCCTAACTGCCTCTGCCTCAGCCCCCACCACCGTGGCTTTGTCCAGAAGGATGTCTGGAAGATGTCTGGTCTAATTAGCATATTACTCTTTTATTAGTATAGATAACTTGAGTATTGCAATTAGATTTAGTATTGCACTTTGAATATTGCAATTCTAAAAATTATATTATAGTCATCATAATTTGAGTATTGCCTTGCTGTGAAAATATGTAGGTATTCTACCAAATGAATAAGATTATTATGAAGCTACTAAAAATATCTCCCAATGGGCTCCTTAAAGTTTATGGTTTTCTTTTTAAACTCTCAAAATGTCCTACTTTATACCCAACAACAAGTTGACTATTAGTAAATGCTTCATGCCTAGTATTCCTATCTGCATTAACAAATACCTTTAATTTCTGTGATTGGCATGTACTATTTTATTTTTTTAAATATATTTTATTGATTTTTTACAGAGAGGAAGGGAGAGGGATAGAGAGTCAGAAACATCGATGAGAGAGAAGCATCGATCAGCTGCCTCTTGCACACCCCCCACCGGGGATGTGCCTGCAACTAAGGTACATGCCCTTGACCGGAATCGAACCTGGGACCCTTCAGTCCCCAGACCGACGCTCTATCCAGTGAGCCAAACCGGTCAGGGCGGCATGTACTATTTTAAAGAGTTGCCTGACTTCAGTAGTATAATATTCTCTGATAAATACTTAAAAAATTTAAAACTATTTTCATTAAATGTATTTACTACCAAAGTTCATATCATATTATATTTGCATTTTCTTTTTTCCTCCTAGAAATATTCAGATTTTAAAACAACAATTAAGCAGATTGTGGGAACAAGAAAACCATCTTACTTTGGTTCCAGGATATACTGGTAATATAGCTAAGGTAATCTATATTTAAGCTTAAAAATTTAAGGTTTAAATCAATATTTAAGCTTAATTAAAATTTAGAAGTAATATGTTAGTATTATGCATTTATAAATGAATTCTTTCAAATCTTGAGGTAAAGTAATTCAGTACTGTTCAGTAAGATCTATAGTCAATTTCATATTTGCAAATGCTTATGGTCTTCTGGGTATGAATGAGACTTTGACAGGGAGCACAAAATTACCCATTGAATGTGTTTGATATACAGCCACAGAAATAATGTGCTGGAGGTTGTTTAATGACCTAGTTCCAATCAAAGAAAAATATTTGAAAAAGTTAAAAATCCAGGTAAGGAAGGCATCTGAAGATTAAGTGAGGAATACAATTAAATGGTCTAATTAAATGGTTTGGGGGTGTTCTGTTTTACTTGACTATTGCTAATATCATGCTCTTTGGGAAAGTACACTGTTCAAATCACAATATGAATTTGATATTGGTCTTTATTGATTTATTTGTCTCTTAAAGGAAAAGGTACATTAGATTTTAATATTTAAACTCCAGAAAATATTGGTATATAAAACACATATAATTGCAGAAAAAAGTCATTGTTAAATGTTTCCACCCTTTTACTGAGCATATTGCTATCATAAATGGGCATTAGTCAGAAATATAAAATTGTTTTTTAATTTAAAAAATATAATGTACTGAATAAGAGGATTTATGTTATAGACTTACTTGTAAAAATTTTCTTGGATACTTTTCAAGGAAAGAAGCAAAATGATCTACCAAACATGTGTCTTACCACTGTGTATAATTTAACTGTGTAGAATTTTTAATGATTAAAATATTATAAACAGATATCCGTTTCCCAGAAGTATTTTTATTTTCTGACAAATAAATCAATAAAGACCAATGTGAAATTCATATTGCGATTTGAACAGTGTACTTTCCTATTGAGTGATTAAAAGTTCTGTGAAGTTCCTTAAGCTATGATATAAAAAAACCTCTTTTACAAGATTAAACACTCAATTGTAATTTTCTTAAAGTTAGAAATCAGAAAGATAGGCTATCATCAAACTGAAAGAATTGTGAATGATTTAATGATCTTGCCTAGTTATAAAGACAGAATTGCTTGATCACAAGAACCAAACCATTTACTCAGCACTTAGCAAACATTTATTGAGCCCTTGTTGTGTGCCAAGCCCTGTGCTAAACAAATGCAGATTAAAAAGTTGAGTACACCACATCTTTTACCCTCAAAAGGTTACAAAGGGAAACTGAGGCAAATCAAGTGACAAAAAGGGAGAAGAAAGGGGTTGTGTATATATGTGTTTACTAGCTAATGAAATGTTTTTGTTTTATTTTCTAAGGATGTAGATGCTTATTTATTACAGTTGCATTGAAAGACTTCATCTACTAAAGAGCATTTGGTTATTCAAAACATCCCTGGACTATATGATTTCCAAACAAGTCTCATTGGAGAACTGTGAACTATGAAAGAAATCAAAACCGTTTTCTTCTAAAGCCACATATGAAACCAATAACAAAACCCTAGCAATCTACTTCACATTGAAGTGGAAAAATATCCGAAAGGAGCAGCTTCAACTTTAATAAGGTGAAAGTGCACTATGAAGATTGTTCACCTTTGCTGCTTTTGGGATTTACATGATTACTTGGCAAGAACTACTGGATCTTAATGCAATCCTTCATAAGAATATACTTTATACTATGTGAAAAAATAAGACAAAACTTATTACTAGGAAAAGCAAAGACCAATCATTACTTTTTTTAAGATTGTGTTTTATAAGAAAACACTCAAATGTGTGCAGCTATTTTCTTATGTTGAAAGACTTTAAAAGTTTTAAACATCCTAGCAAATAATTAATACTAAAAGTTTTTTTGTCCACACTGAAATACTGTGTAAACAAAATGCCTTAATTATTAATAAGCCAATGTATATGATACCAAGATCTGTTTTTAAAAAAAGTAAAACCAACCATGCTTCTGGCATGAAAGTTATGGAATTAAATCAGGGGTTTCCATTCATGTGGAATATTGTTAAAACTTATTCCACACCATCTTTAAAACTTGAGAATATGTTTAATATCTCTGAAATCGTTTTGCCAGAATCGTCATGTCATGTATGTATGTGTTATTCTTATATAAAAGAAAGAGGTGAATATGTATTTGTATGTGTGCTTAGTTGGAAATGTTCATAGAGTTGGCTAATTTATATTCACTTTCTACTGTATATAGATTTCTAATATTTTCAGTTCTGTATCATTTAAGCTTCATTTGAGTAAATTTACTAAATATTTCCATTTTTTGCTTTTTAAAAATCTGGTTTTGTATGAATTCTAATTGTTTTTCACTACATTATGATTTAAAGAATTATATACAATGCTTTAGAAGTGTTTACAGTTAGTGCTGACCTTATATTTTGAGTTCCAATACTTTATATTACTACCTCCTCCAATGGTTGGTATGAAATGCCAGCAGACTGTATGAGGTCTTTTTTTTCTTAATACCATTTTTTGGTGTCAATGACCCCACTTGTGGAATGTCTTCACAGCTGTACTTTTTAGCCTGTCTTGAGAGTGATTGGGCTTTAAATACCACTATTGGTTCCTACATCATCTCATCTTGAATGAGCCCGAGCAAAGATTTTTAGTATCAAATTTCTGTGCAGTAATCCTTCAAGCACTTGAATGTAAGCCTTTAGCATTTACCCAATTAGTGACTACTGATGTGAATCCTAAACAAGCATTTTTATTGGTTTAAAAATATTAAAAATGTTCTCTTTTACTGAGTTCTCCTTTTGTGTAGCTATATTTCATATAGCTGTGTATTCTTCACAGTAGTAATTGGCTATTTTCTTAAATCTTTAGGATAATTTCAGAGTACTGCACTCCCGTGATTTAAGAGTTGAGTTATTTAAGAACTCATTTTTCAGGAGGTGGGAATTTGAATCGGAAACCTGCGTCATCTCTGTGAAACCTTAAGATGATGAAATATAACCTTTCTTTGTTCCTGTTTCTTTAGTTATCACTTTATCTAACAGTTTGAACCAGTTAACTCAGAGCATGGTGCTACTGAGGCTAAGGACAGGAGCTTTACAGGTTCATTCACTTTACACACATACACAGAACTATTCATAGTTACAGACTGCACCTTTTCTTAGGTATCTGTCTCACAACTTCAGCTTTTGGTCACAAGGAAGATGGTGTGTATACTTAGCATAAACCCTTCACCTCAAATAGAAAGATATCTCAAATAATTGGTATATGTAATACTGTAGACTTTGAATCTAATATTTAAAACAATATAATATTAAAAATAATATCTAAAATACTGTGTTATTATAATTTTCTCTGGTAAGATCATTGACTAAACAATATCTTCTAAAATTAAACTTCAATAAATCAAACTTCAGTAAAAATTAAGTACAAATGAAACATATTAAGAAAATGTACTACCTCATTAACACTGAGTTTTTGTGCCTAACTTTGGGTTTGTTGAAGGAGAGTTGATACTCCATTTTATTTACTTGGAGCTATATAAAGCAGCAGTCTTTAGCTCACAAAGATTATTCAATACCACACATTCCTAATTCTTGGCCTTTGCAATTTGCCTTAATACCTACCTCTCACTGACTGAGTTATGATTAGTATTAGTTGATTTTAAGATTCTTGATAAAAGATATTAGATAAGTAAATATTACTGAACACTTCTGTTGCTATTAAGCTCTTAACATGCTATTTAATCAGAACAGTGTTGATATCCAGAAAGAGCCAAAGAAAGTGTTTATAAAGTATTTTGGCTGTTGTATGACCTAGATTAGGACAATCGCTGTCTGTCATCACTCATTTGTGGCTGTGCTGCTAAGCAGTACACAGAACTGAGGGACTACCCAAGGTTTCTATGCCTTACTACCGCTTCTACCTTTTAGGTTTTCTGTACTGAACTTTGCTAACTTTGCAAGTCTAAGGACAGTTTATTGAGGTGATAGAGGGTTATAATCAAGTAATTTCTTTCTACTAGAAATAAAGTGAGTGGATTTTGTAATAAGTGATCATGATCAGAAAAAGGGTTAAAAGTTAGGAAGCAAGCATTATTAGATGGTTTTAAAAATTAATCTTTTGGCAGTAATTTTAAAGATAATTGACAGATTATTTACCTGAGTCCTGAGATGTGAGGATTTGGATATCTGTATCTACTTTGGAGAATCATTAATGTCAGCACTAAAGTCTAAGGGCAACTGAGGAATTAAATCCTTATCCATCCCCCTAAACATATTTGGTACATGTCATATCCTAACCTTAAAAATTGGTGTGTGTGTGTGTGTGTGTGTGTGTGTGTGTGTTCAAGGCTATATTTTTGGCCTTTGAAATAGTAATTTTCTCAAACTTGGAGCATTTCTACATTTTGCAAGTTATTAATATAATTAGTATTAATGGATAACTAATTTGAGTAATGATTATTACCTATTAAATACTGATAATATAAATCATGTAAATGTTTGTTTAGTTAGTTAAATGAGTCAAGGAATCTGGAAAAAAAACAACAAAATTTACGTTAATATTTTGTTAGTCATTCCCAAGTATCTCTTCATATTTAAGAACAAGATGGTAATGTCAATTGCCTTTATTGACTTAAAGGGGAAAAATATAGAATCACAAGCAGCTGACTCACTGGAGTGGTCCATTTGGATGCACTACTACTTATCTTTCAATATAGACTATTATTTTCTGGATTACTTCAGGTGAAAAAAGTATTACTGGACATTTGTCGGTAGGTATTAACTCCTTTTTTCTCCTCAATTTCCAGTTCTTCTATCTGTGAAAATTGTCATAAAACAACACACTATTCCCTCTTTTTTATTCTGTAACAGGAATATAGAATAAAAAGTTCCTCCCTAAACACTGTATGCTTCTAATTTGTAGTATAGGTTGATTGATTCAATAACAGCACTGACTATAACAATAAAAATAAGTACTGCATATCATATACCCAGTATTCTGAGTACACTTTCGTTTTATGTGTTTTGTTTTTTTTAATTTTTTAATTTATTTTAATTTTAGAGAGTGGAACAGGGAGAGAGAGAAAGAAATTGTCTCCCACACTTGCCCTAACATGGAATCAAACCAACACCACCTTTTGGTGTACAGGACAATGTTCCAACCAACTGAGCCACACCGGCCAGGGCCTGAGTTCGTTTTTCAATGCTGTACTTATTTCAAATATTGTAGGCATTATTTTCTCAGGGTTAGATTATTGATTTAATAGTATCTGCTAAAATCAAACTTTAGTAAAAACTAAGTACATAATACAGTTGACCCTTGAACAACCCTGGCTCCCCCACCTCCTGCAGTCAGAAATTCACATATGACTTTTGATACCCCCAAAACTTAACTACTAGTAGCCTTCTGTTGACCAAAAGCCAACATAAACAGTTGCTTAACACAGATTTTGTGTTATATGTATTATATGCTATATTCTTTTTTTCAATTTAAATATATCTTATTTTTATGTTCCTGGCATCTTCATTTCTCCCTCCATCGTACCACTTCCACACAAAAGCATCTAGGTGACTTCATAGTAAAAAGAGCTGATTTTTCCAAATCTCTAAGGGAAGTTAGCAATGTACACATAAGACACTTTCAAAAATTATTTAAATTCATCAGTCACAATTGTTCTCTTTTTTATTGACATAAAACAGCTAAAGATGGGTTTTCCAGAGAATTCCCGTGAGGGATTTACCAGGGGAAAAATTGTAGGACACACACCACGAAACCAGAAGAAAAGTTTACACCAGGTCAGTGATTTACTGGTCCTAGGTTAATGAACTGATAAGACATGGGATGAGAAAGAATAACAGTAGCAAGAATGCATTGTTGGCAGACTTGAGTAGGGGAAAGGGAATGTTGGCCTGAGGAAGGAGAGGTGGTGCTAAGTATGACAGCTAGCAGGTGGGTCATCAAAGGCCCACTTACACCATCAATACCTATGCGTCAACCTCATCACTGCACAGATGTCTTCTTGAGTATTAAATTGGCATCCTCTAAAGCAGTGGTTCTCAACCCTCTGGCCCTTTAAATACAGTTCCTCATGTTGTGACCCAACCATAAAATTATTTTCGTTGCTACTACATAACTGTAATGTTGCTACTGTTATGAATCGTAATGTAAATATCTGATATGCAGGATGGTCTTAGGCGACCCCTGTGAAAGGGTCATTCGACCGCCAAAGGGGTTGCGACCCACAGGTTGAGAACTGCTGCTCTAAAGTATCTCTCCCCTTTGGGAAAAAATGTCCTGGTATTCACCACCTCCCACCTCCCTCATTCTTCAGAATGCTGCTGTTTAAACTTGAGACTTTCTTCAAAATCATTTTAGTTGGTTGCGCATTTTACAATCTGCACAGGGAAACTGAGGCACAGTTGGAGACTTTTCTACCAAGTGTTCCAGCGTAACACCATATTTCTATACAAAGCCTTGTTGAGAGTATTACAGATGTCCCCCTGTTTCCCCCTTTACCTCCCTCTACTCATTTCTCACCCTGCCCTAGGCTTTCACCACCCTATTGTCTGTCCATAGGTAATGCATATATGCATATAAGATCTTTGGTTGATCTCTTTCCACCCTTCTCCCCCTTCCTTCTGAGATTCATTAGTGTGTGCCATGCTTCCATGCCTCTGATTCTATTTTATTCATCAGTTTATTTTGTTCATTAGATTTCTTGTTTGTTTAGTTTGATTTTCAAATTCAATTATTGATAGATATGTATTTGTTGCCATTTTGTTGTTCATTTTGATCTCTTCTGCTTCTCATCTTCCTCCTCTTCCTCCTTCTCCTCCTCCTCCTCTTCCTCTTCTTCGTAAAGAATATCCTTCAACAATAGTTTGATGGTGATGAACTCATTTAGCTTTTCTTGTTTGTGAAGCTCATTATCTGACCCTCAATTCTAAATGAGAGCTTTGCTGGGTAGAGTATTCTTGGTTTTAGGTCCTTGCTATTCATAACTGAATATTTCTTGCCACTCGCTTCTGACCTGCAAAGTTTCTGTTGAAAAATCAGCTGACAGTCATATGGGCACTCCCTTGTAGGTAACTAACTGCTTTTAATAATCTCTGTTTGTCTTTAACACTTGGCATTTTAGTTATGTGTCTTGGTGTGGGCCTCTTTGGGTTCCTCTTGTTTGGGACTCTTTGTGCTTCCTGGACTTGTAAGTCTATTTCTTTTACCAAGTAGGGGAAGTTTTCTGTCATTATTTCTTTAAATAGGTTTTTAATATCTTGCTCTCTCTATTCTCCTTCTGGCATCCTCATAATGTGAATGTTGGTCTGATTGGGTGTTTTTTTGCTTCCTTATATTCCAAATCATTGATTTGATTCTCTGAATTCTCTACTCTACTGTTGAATCCCTGTAAATTATTCTTTATTTCAGTTAGTGTATGCTTAATTTCTGACTGGTCTTTTTTCATGTCTTTGACATTCTCATTAAGATCCTTGAAAGTCTCATGAAGATCTGACTGGTCTTTTTTCATGTCTTTGACATTCTCATTAAGATCCTTGAAAGTCTCATGAAGATCCTTGAATAACCTTGTAACCATGGTTTTGAACTCTGTATCCAGCAGTTGCTTGCTTCCATTTCTTTTATTTGTGACATGTTTCTTTGTCTTCACATTTTGGCTGCTTCCCTGTGTTTATTTCCATATATTAGGTAGAGCCGCTATGTCTCCTGGAATTGGTAGAGTGGTCTTGTGTAGTAGGTGTCCTGTAGGACCCAGTGGCTCAGCCTCCTCAGTCAGCTGAGCTAGGCACTCTAGGTGTGCCCCTTTGTGGGCTGTATGCACTATCTTCTTGTAATTGATTGCTTTTGAAATCACTGGGAGGAATTACCCACAGGCCTATGAGGACCAGCTGTGACTACAGTGAAAGAACTGCTATGCAGGAGACACCCTATGGAGCAGGACTTGCTTCAGTGAGGCTTTGGTGCTCACTGAGTCTGCCTCTTGAGTGTGTTGCTTGTGGTTGTGTAGAATGTAATCTGCTATGTCTGAAGCAGTTCACTGGGTGCACTAGCTCTAGGACCTCAGGGAGGTGCAGAGTCAGCTACTGGCTGGGCCACCCAACAGGAGCTACAGAGGGAACTGCAGAAGGCTGCTATTTGCTATTTGTATTGGGCTTGGAGGTGCCCAGGTGAAGCCCAGCTGTGAAGCAAGGCAGGTTAGTGTTAGTGCTGGGTCTTGGGTCTTTTAATGAGTTTTGGGGCACTCTGTCACCAGCTGCAGCTTGTTTGAGAGATTTTAGCAAAGTCTGAAGCCTGAGCCAGGACAGGCCATTCATATGGAAAAGCTGCTGCAAACAGCTTGGATGGGGCAGGGTGTCCGGGAATCCCCAGGGTGGAGCAAACAGTGCTCCATGCTGATGGAGACTCAGATATGGCTACCAGTCAGCCCTGTGATAAGGGAGGTCCCAGCACAGGAACAATGACCCCTGCAAGCACTCCTGTCTGGGAGAAAGCCAGACAGTCCAGTTCCTCCCTGAGTTTCTTCCCTGATGCCAGACAATCTAGTTCCTCCCTGTATGTGTCTGGGTCCCCCAAAGCCGACCAGGTGCTGGGAGTTCAAGTAAGTTCATGCACTGGCCTTTAAAAGGAACACCTGGATCAATCTCCAGGTCACTCAGTCACAATCCAGGCTGGTTTTTATAGCCCATAGTTTTAGAGACTTCTCTTCCCAGTTCTGGAACGCTGTTCTGGGGATCTGGGGGTCTGGTGTGGGGCTAGGACTCCTTGCTCCTTACAGGCAGCCTCCACAGAGACTATCTCCCTCCCAATTAAAAAAAAAAACAGTTCATGTGGGTATAGACCAGCCCATTCCGTGCCTCCGCCCCTCCTACTACCAGTCTCAGTGTGCTTTCTTCTTTACTTCTCTAGTTGTAGGACTTCCATTCAGCCAGCTTTCAGGTGGTTCTGAATGATGGTTCTGTATTTTAGTTGTAATTTTGATGTGGTAGTGGGAGTCAGCGAATATAGGCATTTACCTACATCACCATCTTGGTTCTCTTTGTATATTCGTATACTATATTCTTAAATAAAATAAACTGGAGAAAAGAAAATTGTTATTAAAATCATAAAGGAGAGAAAATACATTTACAGTATTGAAAAAAAATATGCATATAAGTGGACCTGCACAGTTCAAACCCATGTTGTTCAAGGGTCAATACCACAGTATTTTCTTTTATAGCCTGTAATTAATCATAAAAAAAGGGCAGTTACTGATCAACAGTAATTCTATGAATAGGCAGCCCCATAGTTGCCAGTGTTTTTCATAGCAAAGCTAGTTATCTAGTATTGCTTTGATACACAAATGATAATTTTCTGAATTATAAAGTTCTCAGATAAGAGATGCCAAGAGCCTGAATAAGGATTTAGCCCCTAAATACACTTGATTCTTATGTTTTACAGTATTCTGTATTTTCACCCAGATTTAAATCAGGATTTTTTTTTTTAATGTCCTAGACCTAGGCAAGTCTGTTTTGACTCTGGATTTACACCAAAGCTAAGAAGAGTTGATCCAAAGTATTTTCTAGGATAAGGAAGACTTATTGTGGGTTTCCCAGAATACACTGAATTGCCAGATTTACTTGCTTCTAGGGTTATTTTATTGCATTTATCAACCAAACTTTCATCATGGAGCCTGGACTAGAATTAGACCTCACCTTACAGGAGTTAGGAGCTAAGTTAGCATCCATTTACTTTCCTACTTTATTTAAAAAGAAAGCAAGAAGCAAGAAAGAATAATAACTGCAGCTTAGCCTCAACAACAGCAGGAGAAATGAAGGTTGATACCTTTCTTTTAGGCAGGTTCTAGAGCTTACAAAATGTTTAGAAGAGGCTTATCATTTTTCCTTTGCC